GTAATTAGAGAAATGCAAATCAAAACTACTCTAAGATTTCATTTCACTCCAATAAGAATGGCAATTATCAAGAATACAACCAATAATAAGTGTTGGTAAGGATGTAGGGAAAGGCACACTCATACATTGTTGGTGGCACTGCAAATTGGTGCAGCCATTCTGGAAAGCAGTATGGAAATTCCTTAGAAAACTTATAATGGCACCACCATTTGACCCAACTATCTCACTCCTTGGTCTATACTCAAAGGGCTTAAAATTAGCATACTATATCAATGTTTATAGCAGTTCAATTCACAATAGCTAAACTCTGGAACCAACTTAGATGCCCTTCAATAGATGAATGGATTAAGAAACTGTGGTATATATACACAATGGAATATTACTCAGCCTTGAAGAAGAATAAAATTATGACATTTGCCAGTAAATGGATGGAACTGGAGAATATCCTGCTAACGATGTAAGCCAATCCCTAAAATCCAAAGGCCGAATGTTCTCTCTGGTAAGTGCATGCTGATCCATAATGGGTGGGGTTGGGGGGAGAGGGAAGAATGGAGGAACTTTGGGCAAAGGGTAGCAGGGAAGGAGTGGGGGTGTGGGGGCAGGAAAGATGGTGGAATGAGATGGATATCATTACCTTAAGTACATGTATGACTGCCAATATAGTGTGATACTAAATCATGTACAACCAGAGGAATGAAAAGTTGTGCTCCATTTGTGTACAATGAATCAAAATGCATTCTGCTGTCATATATGCCTAATTCAAATAAACAAATAAATAAAAATTAAAAAAAAAACATTGTATGACCCACAATCCCATGACTCTGCATACCAACAAAACCCAAAACGACAAGGCCTGCTGTTCAAGTGAGATACCTTAAAGCTTCTTTCCTTTTGTCCTAGTGCAAAGCATTTGACTTTTAACAGTGCCAATCTCTTCAGCAATTGCATTCTCCTCAACTGCATCTTTAACTGCACTACTTTTCTGGCCAGACTGCAAATATTCCACTTCTGGTTTGCTTTTTTTGTTCCTGATTTTCACTGTAAATCAGGCTAACAGCAGCCTGTAATACCCATGCTATAGCCAGGATATTACTCTTGCTGCCTTAAAATTGGTGAACCACATCTCAAAATGCATCCCACATGTTCCCAGGGTACGGATAAAATGCATACAAATTCTTTACTGAGATTTAACAGTGATGGCTTGTAGTTCAGCTGCCAACAAAATCCTTATTTCAATATGCAACTTCACCAGTATCATCTTTACTGTCCACATTTCTGTCAGCATTCTGGTCTTCTGAGCCTCCACCAGAATCACCCATTATACTCCACTTAGAGCACTCTAGGACTTTTGTAGCTTGCTTCTTCAGACTTTTCCGAACTTCCCTTGTAAACCATTTTCAGTGCCCTCCCATTTTCAGGTATAATCACAGAAATGACCCCACTTCTTGGTACCATTTACTATGTTAGCTCTCTGTTACAATAATAAATCTATGAGATAGTTAACTTTTTTATAAAAAGAAAATTTTATTTTGGCTTACTTTTTCAGAGGTTTTGATTCATGATCAAGTGAACCTATTGCTTTTAGGTCTTTGTTCTAAGGGTAGCACATCATGGTGGAAGTACATGGCAGAAAAAAAACCAGTCACCTCATGGCTAGGAAGAGGTGAGACTGGAGTCCCATTGGTTAGAAGACCTCCTATGAGATCACTCTTAAAGGTTCTACCACCACCTTCCAGAAAGTGCCAGTATAGGGAACAAGCCTTTAAACATGGGCCTTTGTGGACATTCCAGATCTAAACTATAGCACACACTAATCAATTATATGTAGTTCTTTGTGAAGAGTGAGTGGCAAGTTGAGAATGTTGGAGAGGAGATAAGAAGACCATGAAGGACCCCATGTATAGGTTTATGGATTATGGTTTTTATCCTGAGTGCATAAGGTTTTTAAAGTACATGAATATTTTAACCATGGGAACAATATGATTAGATTTTCTTGTCAGCAAAGTAGGAAGTAAAATTAGAGCAAGAGAGAAAGAACAGTAACTTAAATGAAGTAATGAATTAGGTTCTGAAGTTGGATAATAGCAGTGAACATGGAAATAGTAGGAGGTATTCAATTGTTATTTAAAGATGGTCCAGATATTTCTTAGTTACCTAAGGGAATGGGAAGAAATTAAGGCTTAAAGGTTACGTGAGTGGTGTTCATTTCAATGAGGAAGAAAGTTGAGATTTGTAAAACTTGTTTAAACCATAGAAAACAAATACAGAGATTATGAAAACTTGTGACCTATGATGAGAAATTGTTCGTGGTGTTTGTATTTAGCATTCATGTGCATTTGTAAAGGTCTTGGTACTTCTATAGGCACTGGAAACAATTTTTAAAATTAATGACCCGGTTCTTATTCTTCAGGAGCTCAATGTACAATAATATGTTGTAATTCTAAAATGTTTTTCATTATAGGTAATAATAAAACGTCCTTAAGAAAAACATTGCACAAATCTCTTACTGACTGTAACTTGAGAGTCTTTAGGTTGCTATTTTGATAGATATTACTCACTTGTTTTCAGCCAATATATGTGAAAAATTAACTTGCCAGCCAAGTGGACCCAGTTTGTTTTGTCATGATCATGCTTCTGAATTCAGCTAATTGCTCCATGCCTAACCCTTTTAGAGCCAGCCCAGATGTGTCTTCATCTGTGTGCTCTGATTCTTGATTTCCTTAGATCACTCTGGTCTTAGAGGTCAAAACAAAGCCCTCATTTTTAAATCTTTGTCATTTTCACTCTACACTTTCCACAAGTTACTCATCTACCTCCTCTCCCTGCAGTTACAGCATTCTCAGTCACTAAACTTATTTCTTAACTCCTCCTAGTGGCCACTTAGTAAATTCTAGTGATTATATGCTTTAATAATGACAGGTCTTTAGTCTTTGGAAGTCATCTTTTCCTCACCTTAATAGTACTATTTTATTTAATAAAATCATTATAATTAATGTTTTTAAAATGTTAATACACTTTTATAAAGTTCAAAAATAAGATAGCTATATTCTACTTAGAGGTACAGATATGTGGAATAAAGCAAGAGAATGATAAACATAAAATTCCTTTAGTTTTACAGGTGGCATAACAAAAGATAGGGAGGAGCACAAAGGTAGATATAGATTAATGGTAATACTCTAGGTTTCTTTAAATCTTTTATTTTGAAAGACAGAATAATATAATGAAGTTCCATGTACTTATCACTACTAATTATTCCCTTACCAATGTTTTTCCCCTGACAGGATCTGCTATTTTAAAGCAGATCCTGTCAGGGGAAAAATAATGTCCAGGATCTGCTATTTTAAAGCAGATCCTGGACATTATGCCATTACTTATTTTGATTTTTTTAAATGCATCTCAACTGAGAAGACATTCTTATCTTTCCCTAAGTACTGTGATATTATCACACTTAACAATAATACTTGGTCTATATTCACATTTTCATGATAACCTTGAAAATGTCTTTTTTTTAAGACACTTGTCTTTAAAATATCTTAACTTGACTCCAAGTAAGATTCCCATTTTGGGGCTGTAGTTCACTGGCAGAGTGCTTGCCTAGCATGTGTGAGACACTAGGTCCGATCCTTAGCACCACATAAAAATAAAAAAATAAAAAATAAAGCCGGCACAGTAGTGTATGTCTGTAATCCCAGCAGCTCAGGAGGCTGAGGCAGAAGGATCACAAGTTCAAAGCCAGCTTCAGCAAAAGTGAGGCACTAAGCAACCCAGTGAGACCCTGTCTCTAAATAAAACGCAAAATAGGACTGGGGTTGTGCCTCAGTGTTCGAGTGCCCCTGTTCCCCCCACCCCTAAGGCATTCTGTCCATCTATACAACTACAAAAAATTTTTTAATTCCCATATTGATTTTTTAAAAATATTTATTTTTTAGTTTTAGGTGGACACAATATCTTTATTTTTTATTTTTATGTGGTGCTGAGAATTGAACCCAGTGCCTCATGTATGCTAGGCGAGTGTGCTACCACTTGAGCCACATCCCCAGCCCTAATTCCCATATTGATTTTCATATTGTATTTCTTACCTCTTTTATTCTATAAATGTCCCTTCTCCTTTTTATTCCAATGATTTATTGAGAAACTTGTTAGAATTACTCCCATCTAGTATTTTTTAACTTGTTTCTCTCTTTACCGTATTTCTTATAAATGATAGGTATATAACTAAAGGCTTAATCAGTGTTATATTCTTTGAGCTTTGATAAGAGTTAGAGTCTTTGGAATTTTTGTTTGTTGAAAAAAGTATGTGTGATGATGTGCACTTTATCTTAAATTATATCATGAAGCACATAATATCTAGTTCTCACTCTTTTTTAAAAAATATTTATTTATTTAGTTTTCTGCAGACACAACATCTTTGTTTGTATGTGGTGCTGAGGATCGAACCTGGGCCGCATGCACGCCAGGCAAGCGCACTACGGCTTGAGCCACATCCCCAGCCCTAGTTCTCACTCTTAAGGATGCTACAGTTAATCAGTGGGTTTAGTGTATAACAGTTATACTTTATAATGTTTATTTTCCTTAATCTGCATAAGGAAGTACCACTAAGAAAATACCAGATTTTAAAAATTAAATTTAGGAAGGAAGAAGAGGTATAGGAAATATAATTCAAGGCTTGTTTCCTTACATGTAAAATATATGTTTATAATAGATTCAATTCCTATTACCCATTATAGACTAGTGGAACAAATCTTTAGGGTTAGAGTAAGTACCTCTTCTTTCCCTTTCCACAATGATAGCAGCTCTGAGAACTTAGCCTTTTTCACCATCTCTTTTTAAACCTTAATTTTTGGTTCCAGGTTAGTAAATTTTAAATTAGTAAATTTTAAGTTTATAAGTTGCTTAAAGTATAACATGGATCGAGAAATACAGTATCAGAAGAACTCGAAGTCCATTCCAACTGAATTTTATTATAAATTTCAAGTAATGATAATTAACTTTTTAAACAGGGTTCAACTACACCAGTAACTGTTTTCAAAGGTTCAAAGAAACCTTACTTAAAAGAATGCATTTTGATTATTAACCATGATACTGGAGAATGTCGACTAGAGAAACTCAGCAGCAACATCACTGTAAAAAAAACAAGGTAGGTGGTTCAATTAAATAAATCATCTTATCAACATAGGAATTTCTAAGGAAATGTTCGATTAAGTCAAAGTATTATATAAGGTTTTTTTGAGGTATTGAGAAATCTTTTAATATTTTTCTAATTTTTAAGTGGGTGGAGATCCTTGGTCAATTCTCACATTGGCCTGTAGATATATATATATAAGCTTGTTTTGCTTCTAAATGTTTTCTGTTTGGGTGAGCATGCCTTTCATTCTTTTGTAGATGCTTTCATAGGATGGACTGGAAGCAGTCATTTCACATTAACAAAATAATTTTATTTCCATTAGTAAAAACTTATTGAGCACCTAGAATATGTAATACACTAGAAAAAGGAAAGTTTGCTATATAAACACTAACCTCAGAACTTCAGCATTCAAATCAGATTAACAGACCATTTAATTTTTAAAATGAACAGGAAAATATAGCTGTCTGAAATTTTGGAAATAAGTAGTGCATTATTTACCATGTAATTTAGGGATACCTGCTCTAAAAGCTGTACAAAGAGTATAGATTAAAAAGGTAAAGGAAAGTAAAGGAAGGTAAAGGTTATAGTTGATTAGAGCATTCATGGAAGCCTTATTGATAATGTACCCTGAAAGGAGGTTAAGATCATAAGAATTACCTTGAGTGCTTGTTTAAAAAAAAAAAAAGGAATTTTTAGTGAGCTGGGGCTGTAGCTCAGTGGTAGAGTGCTTGCCTAGCATGTGTGAGGCACTGGGTTTGATCCTCCGCACCACTAGAAAAAGAAATAAATAAAATAAAGGTATTGTGTTCATCTACAACTAAAAATATTTTTTTTAAAATAGAGGAGTTTTCAACATTGTAAAGGCTATCTGCGCTAAGCCTCAGGCCAACATCATTCTAAATGGAGAAAAACTGAAGGCATTCCCTCTAAAATCTGGAACAAGACAGGGATGCCTCTCTCATCTCTTCTATTTAACAAAGTTTTTGAAACACTGGCCAGAGCAATTAGACAAAAGAAATTAAAGGGATACATATAGGAAAAGAAGAACTTAAATTAGCACTATTTGCTGACGATATTATTCTATACCTAGAAGACCCAAAAAACTCTACCAGGAAACTTCTAGAACTAGTAAATGAATTCAGCAAAGTAGCAGGATATAAAATCAATGCCTATAAATCAAAGGCATTCCTGTATATCAGTGACAAATCCTCTGAAGTGGAAATGAGGAAAACTACCCCATTCACAATATCCTCAAAAAAAAAAAAAAAAAACTTGGGAATCAACTTAACAAAAGAAGTGAAAGATCTATACAATGAAAACTACAGAACCCTAAAGAGAGAAATAGAAGAAGAACTTAGAAGATGGAAAGATCTACTTTGCTCATGGATAGGCAGAATTAATATTATTAAAATTACCATACTACCAAAAGCACTATACCGATTCAATGAAATTCCAATCAAAATCCCAGTGGCATTCCTCATAGAAATAGAAAAAGCAATTATGAAATTCATCTGGAAAATAAGAGACCCAGAATAGCTAAAGCAATTCTAAGCAGGAAGAGTGAAACAGGTGGTATTGCTATACCAGGCCTTAAAAATACTACAGAGCAATAGTAACAAAAACAGCATGGTACTGGCACCAAAACAGGCTGGTAGACCAATGGTACAGAATAGAGGACACAGAGACTAACCCACAAATATACAACTATCTTACATAAGCAAGCACTGGAGAAAGGATGGTGCTGGGAAAACTGGAAATCCATATGCAACAAAATGAAGTTGACTCTCTACCTCTCACCGTGCACAAAAGTTAACTCAAAATGGATCAAGGATCTAGGAATTAAACCAGAAACTCTGCGTCTAATAGAAGAAAAAGTAGGCCCTAATCTTCATCATATGGGGCAAGGCCCCAACTTCCTTAATAAGATGCCTATAGCACAAGAATTAAAACCAAGAAGCAACAAATGGGAGGGATTCAAACTAAAAAGTTTTTTCTCAGCAAAAGAAATAATCTGTAAGGTGAACAGGGAGCCTAAATCCTGGGAACAAATTTTTACCCCTCACACATGAGATAGAACTCTAATCTCTAGGGTATATAAGGAGCTCAACAAGTTAAGCACCAAAAAAAACCCCAAATAATCCCAACAGTAAATGGGCCAAAGACCTGAACAGACACTTCTCAGAAGAGGATATACAATCAATCAACAAATATACGAAAAAATGCTCATCATCTCTAGCAATCAGAGGAATGCAAATCAAAACTACTCTAAGATACCATCTCACTCCAGAAAGAATGGCAGCCATTATGAAGACAAACAACAAATGTTGGCGAGGATGTAGGGAAAAAGGTCCACTGCTGGTGGGACTGCAAATTAGTGCACCCAATTTGGAAAACAGTATGGAGATTTCTTGGAAAGCTGGGAATGAAACCACCATTTGACCCTCTTCTCAGACTATACCCAAAGGACCTAAAAACAGCATACTATCTGGACACAGCGATATCAGTGTTTATAGCAGCACAGTTCACAATAGCTAACCTGTGGAGCCAACCTAGATGTCCTTCAGTAGATGAATGGATAAAAAAAAAATGTGGCATTTATACACAATGGAATATTATTCAGCACTAAAAAAGAATAAAATCATGGCATTTGCAGGGAAATGGATGAGACATTAGAGCATATTATGCTAAGTTTGCCAAACCCCAAAAACCAAATGCCAAATGTTTTCACTGATATAAGGGGGGTGACTCAAAGTGAGGTAGGGAGGGAGAGCATGGGAGTAAAATTGCCTCTAGATAGGGAATAGAGGTGGAAGGGAAAAGGAGGGAGAAAGGGAATAGCTAGGATGGTGGAAGGAGAGGGTCATCATTATACAAAATACATGTATGAAGATGTGAATTTGGTGTCAACATACCTTATATACAGAGATATGATAAATGGTGGTATAAAGATGAATTAAGAATTGTATGTAAAAAAAATAAGAGAGCTCATGTATAATGACATAATTTGGTGTGAACATACTTTATATAGAGAGTTACAAAAAACTGTGCTATGAATGGATAATTATGAATGTAGCTATTGTCATTTATGTAAGAAATAAATAAAAAAAGAAAAAAAAGAGGAGTTCTAATCCAACCTTAGCTCAAAGCAGGAGTCTAGAGCTTAGCCTGGTGGCACACATCTATAATCCCAGTGTCTCAAGAGGCTGAGGCAGGAGAATAACAAGTTCAAGGCTAGCCTCAGCAATTTAGTGAGACCCTTGAACAATTTAGCAAGACCTTGTCTCAAAATATTTTAAAACTATTGTGAATTGTGCTGCTATAAACATTGGATGTGGACCAGTGATGATGTTTAGAGGTAAAGCACCACTGAGCTCAACCACACATGCACACACACACACACACAAAAAAAAAAAAAATAAAGAAAAGAAAGAAAAGAAAAGAAAAAAGAGACTGGGTAGTTTTATTTATTAATATCTATTCACCTTCACCTATCCCTTCCAGCCTCTTTGATTCTTACTAGTAGGAAAGTTGGGAAAATATTAATTTATATTAATCAGAAAGAATATAAGATATAAGCAAGATTTGAAGGCAGGATACTTTTTACTTTTTCAGGGCCAATGAATCAGACTTCCTGGAACAGAGCAGAATTTTTTCTTTGTATCTATATATAAGTATTGGAAAATAAGGTAGGGGTGATGTCAATAGTGAGTTAGAGGTAAGGTGGTAAAAATAAGGTTGAGGTTAATTCCTTTACTATTAACTAAGAAATTAAGATTTTTTATGTCAGTTGTTACATATTAAAATCTTTGTAATCAGTATCTGTCATATCTTAAGTTCTGTTTTGAAATGTTAATCCCATCAGGAGACTGAGTAAAATGAAATAATATGGGAAACAAAAATGTATAAACCAGGATTTTTGAGAGCAGGAATGAAGAAGAAAGTGAAGTGCTAAATACTTTGTAAAGGAAAAACTGACAAGATTTGATAACTGGGAATGTGAGAGGCAGAGGTCAAGCATAATTTTATTATGTACTCTTTTCTTAAAGAAAGAAAAGGAAAAAGGAAAGCATATGAATCTCCTTTACTAATATCTTTAAGTTACGAATGGAAAATGTAGAAATGAATATAGTTTTGTTGTTGTTGTTATTGTTGTTTTGTTCCAGGGATTGATCTCAGGGACACTTGACTACTGAGCCACATCTCCTGTTTTGTATTTTATTTAGAGATAGGGTCTCACTGAGTTGCTTAGCCTCTCAGCCTCCTGAACCACTGGGATTACAGGCATGTGCCACCATGCTGGCATGATTTCATTTTATAACAATACTAAATTTAGAACTTAGAGAGTACTTTCAACATGTTATAAACATATTTTTCTTTTATTTTGGTCATTTGTGAATGTCCTATGTACAGAATTGATCAGTGGTTTTGTTTTTGTTCTAATAGACCTGTGTGCATGCCACGCAAATGGCAAGCACTTAATAAATACTTGAGAAATTCTGAATTAAATTAATATTTTCATTCTTGAATATTAAAGATTTCTGAGGAAAAGAAGTGGTCAAGTTTGGTAACTTCATTAAGTTGACATTATTACTATTATACCTGTTTTGGGGTTTTGCTGTGCTTAGAGATTGAACTCATAGCCTCCCACATAGTAGGCAAGCACTCCACCCACTGAGCGACATCCCCAGACACCTGTTTTGATCATTGATATTCTTAATTGCAGAGTTGAAGGAAGCAGTAAAATTCAGCATCGTATAGAACAACAGCATCAGCAAATGCAGAATTCAACAAGCATTCCCAATCTTGTAAAACATTCTCCATCTGAAGATAAGATGTCCCCAACATCTCTAATGGATGATATTGAAAGAGGTAAAATTGAAGTATAGTTTCCCTTTATATGATATAATTAAGAAATATTAAGTAAAGATTTTCATTTAAATTAACAGTGGGACTAACTATAAGCCTTTTATGAGAGCAAAGTATTTTTTGTAGTTATGCATTTTTCTGGGGCAAATATGTAGCTTATGATCTAGGATAGTATATACATTAGACTGTACATTTAAAAGAATTTGTATCTTTTTACTATTATTTAGGGCAAAAAGAATGGCTGTTTATATGTGTGTAACTATAGTTTTCTTCTTTTTTGGCAGCTGTGCTGATTCATATTCAATTCTTTACAGCATCTTCCTGTCAAGGTTCTTTATGTATAGCCAGGCTGTAGATGTCTAAGATGCCACCAGATCAACAGGGAAATGAGGAGATGTAGTAAACAGAAGCAGCAGGCAAGTTTTCTGAATTGCTGTGTACTTCTCAGTAGGAAGGCATTTGTAGGAAGATACAGTCCTTTTGGAAGTAAGAAAATTTAAACCTCCTTTTTTCCAAGCTTTAGTGAGATTGTTGATGTTACAGTAATTGTGGCAACAGTGAGACCCCAGCCACCAAAGTATATTTGCTTCTACAGTTTACCTTCATAATTTATGTGTAGTTGTCCAATTCTAATTCCCTTTTCTAAGTCCAGTACAGTATTAATTCCCTAATGGATTAGTAGCCCTAAACTAATAGATGTAAAGAAAGAATCCTTGTTGTTACAAAAGATCTTTGTTTTATTTTTATATCATGAATGCTTCCAAAATGGATTTGCATCATGATGTCATTCTAAACATGTATACAGTATAAAATTGGAATAGAAAATCAGTAGATTGAAGAGAACATTAAAACAAACTTGCTAATTATTAAGATATTAAATTTAGCTCTGAGCTTCTTGGCTATCAAGACAAAAATGAAGACACAAATAGCATATTTTACATTACATGAGACCAGTTCCAAAGAATCAGACTCTTTCTTGCTACTAAATCCTAAAAGGAATTTATTGTATGGAACTATTCTAGAAAGCATTAAACTACATAATGTACTCAACAGTAATTTCCCAATACAAGTGGTTCCTTCATGTGGCACTTTTGTAGCAAAGACCTTATGTATTGATTGCAGCATAACTCAGGGAAAAGAGTTGTAGAGGTTGACATAGTTTTCTTGTTCTAATTTTGTGTGAGAATGAGCACCATTTACCTTGAGATATTTGTATAGCATGTTTCTTAGACTGTATCCTATTAAATATACTCTTGACCTTTCTGTGCAACTGAGTATTGCTATGATGGTTGAACCATCTTCTCAAATTTATGTCTAGTAGTTGTACTAGGATTTTGTACCCTAGTTTTTGCTTTCATGTCTCTAAGTTATATGGAATTTGAGTTTAAAAAACAAGATAGGGCCCAGGATTCCCTTCCTCCATCCAGAGACCACACAGCTAGGGGTACCAGCAAAGAGATTAATGCCACAGTGAATGGTTGCAGTTCTGGAAGTGCTCTCCTATTTCTCACTTAAGATTCCCTGCCACATCAGAGACTCTCTATGACCAAAAAGAATATTTAAGTGGAATCCCATTATGACAGACACTCAGCCTGGGAATATTGTTATTCCTTCTTTACCTCCCAAATCCATCTTTGCCCCTCATATTCCTCTCTCCTATGGAAAGACATATTGAGACTGTGTGGCACTGACAAGAGTGATTCTACCATAACCAGCACCTCACTGTGAATCACTTTCTGTTCTCTTTCCAAATCCATTTTGGAAGCACTCATGATATATAAGCAGGAGAGCCAACCACCAAAAAGGGAAAAAAAAGAAATTACCTGGTTCAGGAAACAGTCTTCATTCTGTCAGGCCAAGCTCCCTTTCCTCATTGCCTGCTAAAGTTTCTTCTTCCCTTCAAGTTCTTCAGCAGGGACCAGTGGGAACTCTAGCTGTGGGAAAATTATTAAACATCTCTAAAATATAGGCAAGGATCTGCATGCTAAACCTAAATAGGGTGACTACCTGTTAAAATAAAGAGTTTAAATAGATCTTCTCTAACATAATCACCAAAATAGAAAATTATCTCTCATAAATAAGGAAAATCAGTAATTGAATAAGAGTGTTAACAAAAATCAACACCAAAATGTATTGGATGTTACAATTATCTGATAATGATCTTAGAACATCGGTAACAAATACAGTCTAATTACACATTCTCTTGAAGCAAATGAAAAAATAGTCATGTAAAATAAATAGAAGTATTTAACAAGATTCAAATGAAAATTATAGAATTAACAATACAATCACAACAATAACAATAAAAATTTCACTAGATAGGCACAATTACTAGAGAGTGAATAAAATCAGTGAACTTAAGGATTTATAGAATTAACACAAAATTATAACAGAAATAGATTGAAACAAAATGATCAGAGCCCCAAGGATGAAAGAATGATAAAATGGTACTGGAGTCTCAGAGGAGACAGACAGTAGGACTAGAAAAGTTTTCAAAGAAATAATGCCTGTAAACTGCTCATGAAAAACATAATCCAAAGATGCAGGAAGCTGAACAAACCCTAAATAAAATAAACTAAAGAAATACATGCAAGAAACATCATAATTAAACCTATGGAAAATAAAGACAAAGGGAAAAGTTCTGAATGCAAGAGTGAGATAACACATTATCTGTAAAAGAACACCATACAAATATCATATTTCCCAACAAATCCAGATGATCAAAAATCCAGATAATCAAAAGAAAATGACATAATATTTTTCAAGTGCAAAAAGAAATGTCAACCATGAGTTTTTTCTACCAAAATGCTTCTTTATTGGTAAAGAGTAAATAGCCTTCCTCAAAAAGGAAAACTGAAAGAATTTGCTGCTAGGAGACTACTGTTAAATCAGAGAAAGTTTTTCAAGCAGAAAAGAATTGATAAAAAAAAGGAATCAGGAAGGGAAAAAGAACAATAGAAAGATAAAGTACAGTAGATTATGGTTTCCACATGATTTCTAAATTATATATGACAATTAAAATAAAAATTATAATATCTTCTGTTACTTATAACAATGATATTTAAGAGGGGAAAAAAGGGGGACCTAAAATGGACATGATGTTTCCAGATTTTACTCAAAACAGTAAAACATTGGCAGGACATGTGTGTATAATGGAAACCAAACTAATTGCTAAGAAAAAATATACAGTGACATCTTCTAAAACTCTATAAATAAATTAAGATAGAATTCTAAAATAATTAAAGTAACACATAGAAGTGGAAGACACACAGAGGAATGAAATACAGAGGAAATACAAATAATAAGTAATAAAATGACACCTTTAAGCCTTGACATATCAATAATTACTTCAAATATGAATAAATAAACCAGTTGAAAAGAAAAAATTCAGTCTATAAAAAACATACAGCTGTGTGCTTTTTAAAGAGAAAAAATGGAATAAGTAGTTTGAAAGTAAAAGAATGAAAAAATATACCATGTAAACATTAATTTTAAGAAGTGTATGTACCTATACTAGTATCAAAGTAGACAAGAGCAAAACAAATTACTACAAATAAGTATATTAATAATAATTAAAGAATTGATCCACTAAAAAGATAAATGTGTTTTATATCCAACAAAAGAACTGCAAAATTATGAGGTAGAAACTGATAGAGTTGGGGCTGTGGCTGTAGCTCATTGGCAGAGCACTTGCTGAGCATGGTGAGGCACTGTGTTTGATCCTTAGCACCACTTAAGAGTAAACAAATAAAATAAAGGCATTCTGTCTATCAAAAACATAACTGATAGAGTTGAAAGGAGAAGTATAAAAGTTCAGTTATGCTTGAGTTATGTCTTCACTCTACTATCAGCAACTGTCAATAATAGAACTACTAGATAAGAAATCAATAAATATATGTAGAAAGTATGAACAACACAATCAACCTACAGGATCTGACTAACACACATACATATATATATACAACAGTATGCACAACAACAGAATGCACCTTTTTTTTTTTCACGTGCCCATTAAGTGTTCACCAAGATATTTCATATCCTGAGTCATAAAACAAACCTCAATACATTTATGAAAAACAAAATCATACAAACTGTGTTCCTTGACTATGATGGAATTAAACTAAAAATCAATAACAGACAATAGGAAAAATGTCTATGAACATTTGGAAATTAGCATACTTCTAAATGATTTATGAATTAAAGAAGAATAAAAGATCAGAAATATTTATAGCTAAATGTATAAATACAGCATGCCAAAATATGTGGGATACAGTATAGCGGTGCTGAGGGAGGAATTTGTGGCACCAAATGCTTACATTAGAAAAGAATAAAGGTGTTATGATAATTTGAAAACTAGAAAACTAGAATAGGAGAAGTAGTTAAACCCAAAAAAGCATAAAGAAGCAAATAATAAAAATGATAAGTGAAATCAATGAAATTAACAACCTAAAAATGATAGAAAAAAATCAGTGAGATAAGAGCAGCTCATCAAAAAATTAATACTGTTGATAAATCTCTAATAAGAGACAAAATAAAAACAAAACACAATTTACTAACCTCAGAAATACAATACGTATTTCTATAACCAGTAATGAGTTCATTACAGAATGCAATAGCTATTCAAAGGGTTATAGAGGAATATTAAAACTTTATACTCAGAAATAACAATTTAGAAGAAATAGACCAATTTCTAAAAAAGTTAAAAACTGCAAAACTCAGTCAAGATGAAGTAGACAATCTACTCCTATAAATACTTGTTAGGATTTGGATATAAGGTGACCCCCAAAAGCTTATAGGTTTTCGTGTAGCAACGTTTAGAGGTGAAATAATGAGTTTATGAGAGCTGCCACCTAACTAATCAGTGGGCTAATCCATTTGATAGATTAATAATTTGAATGGATTACTAAGTGGTAACAGTAGGCAGAAGGTAAATGGCTAGAGGAAGTGGGGGCATGCTCTTGGGAATTATGTATCTTCTCCCTGGCTTTATACAACTCTTTTCTTTCTCCTTCCTGGCTGCCATGAGCTGAGCCGTTTTCCTCTACTACATCCTTCTACCATGATGTTCTTTGTCACCTCAGGCCCAGAACAGTGGATTGAGCAGACCATGAACTCAACCTCTGAAACTGTGAGCCCCAAATAAACTTTTCCCCTCTAAGTTGTTCTTAAAAAGTATTATGGTCACAGAAACTTAAAGCTGACTAACACAGCATTAAAGAACTTGTATTAGCAATTAAAAAGCATCCCCAAAATAAAAATGCTCAACCTCATAAAATTAGTTTATTTATGTTTCCTCTATGTTAGCTTTCCATTATTGTAACAAATACCTCGGATAATCAACTTATAAAATCAAAAGGTTTATTTTGGCTCACAGTTTAAAAAATTTTAATCCACGATCCAGTAGGTCCATGCTTTTAGGCCTCTGATTGGGGTGTCAGATGGTAATGGCAAGGAGTGCATGGCAGAGCAAACAGTTTACTCCAGTGATTGGAAGACCTCCAACTAGGCCCTGCCTCATAAAGCTTCCCTACCTCAAAATGCTGCCATGGGTAGTCTGGGGCTGGGGCTTGGTGCCAGAGCACTTGCCTAGCATGCATGAGGCACTGGGGTTGATCCTCAGCACCACACAAAAATAAACCAATAAAATAAAGACATCTGTCCATCTACAACTACAAATATTATTTTTTTAAATGCTGCCATGGATTCTCAATAAAATTCTGGCAAATCAAATAAAAAAATATATAAAAAAGATTGTGCACCATGATCAAGTGAGATTCATCCCAGGGATGCAAGGTTGGTTTAACATATGGAAATCAGTAAGTGTAATTCATCACCATCAATAGACTTAAAGATAAGAATTATATGATCATCTCAATAGATGCAGAAAAAGCATTTGACAAAATACAGCACACCTTTATGTTCAAAACACTAGAAACACTTGGTATAACAGGAACATATCTCAACATCATAAAGGCTATCTATGCTAAGCCTCAGGCCAACATCATTCTAAATAGAGAAAAACTGAAGGCATTCCCTCTAAAAACTGGAATAAGACAGGGATGCCCTCTTTCACCACTTATATTTAACAAAGTTCTTGAAACACTGGCCAGAGCAATTAGACAGACGAAACTAATTAAAGGGATACATATAGGAAAAGAAGAACTCAAATTGGCATTATTTGCTGATTATATGATTCTATACCTGTAAGACTCTAAAAGTTCCACCAGAAAACTCCTAGAACTAGTAAATGAATTCAGCAAAGTAGCAGGATATAAAATCAACACCTATAAATCAAAGGCATTCCTGTATATCAGTGTCAAATCCTCTGAAGAGGAAATGAGGAAAACTACCCCATTCACAATATCCTCAAAAAAAAAAAATACTTGGGAATCAACTTAACAAAAGAAGTGAAAGATCTATTCAATGAAAATTACAGAACCCTAAAGAGAGAAATAGAAGAAGATCTTAGAAGATGGAAAGATCTACTTTGCTCATGGATAGGTAGAATTAATATTATTAAAATTACCATACTACCAAAAGCACTATACCGATTCAATGAAATTCCAATCAAAATCCCAGTGGCATTCCTCATAGAAATAGAAAAAGCAATTATGAAATTCATCTGGAAAATAAGAGACCCAGAATAGCTAAAGCAATTCTAAGCAGGAAGAGTGAAACAGGTGGTATTGCTATACCAGGCCTTAAACTATACTACAGAGCAATAGTAACAAAAACAGCATGTATTGGCACCAAAACAGGCTGGTAGACCAATGGTACAGAATAGAGGACACAGAGACTAACCCACAAAACTACAATTATCTTATATTATACAAAGGTGCCAAGAACATGTATTGGAGAAAAGATTGCCTCTTCAACAATGGTAGACATTTGTTGGGAAAACTGGAAATCTATATGCAACAAAATGAAATTAAACCTCTATCTCTCACCAAGCACAAAACTCAACTCAAAATGGATCAAGGACTTAGGAATACAACCAGAGATCCTGTGTCTAATAGAAGAAAAAGTAGGCACTAATCTCCATCATGTGGAATTAGGCCCCAGCTTCCTTAATAAGACTTCTTTGGCACAAGAATGAAAATCAAGAATCAATAAATCGGATGGACTCAAACTAAGCTTCTTCTCAGCCAAAGAAACAATCTGTGAGGTGAATAGAGAGCCTACATCTTGGGAGCAAATTTTTATCCCTCACACATCAGATGGAGCACTAATCACTAGTATATATATAGAACTCAAAAAGCTAAACACCAAAAAAAAAAAAACAAAAAAAAACAATCAATATATGGGCCAAGGACCTGAAGAGACACTTATCAGAGATGATGTACCATCAGTCAACAAATACATGAAAAAATGTTCATCATCACTAGCAATTAGAGAAATGCAAATTAAAACCACTCTGATTTTATCTGACTCTAGTCAGAATGGCAAGTATAATGAACACAACAATAATTAGGGGAAAAGGTACACTCATACACTGCTTGTAGGACTGCAAATTGGTGCTGCCAATATGGAAAGCAGTATGGAGATTTCTTGGAAAACTTGGAATGGAACCACTATTTGACCCAGCTATCCCTCTCCTCGGTCTACCCAAAGGACTTAAAAACAGCATACTACAGGGACACAGCCACATCAATGTTTATAGCAGCACAATTCACAATAGCTAAACTGTGGAACCAACCTAGATGCACTTCAATAGACGAATGTATTAAAAAAATGTAGCATATATACACAATGGATATTACTCAGCAATAAAAGAGAATAAAATGGCATTTGCAGGTAAATGGAGAGTTAGAGAAAATAATGCTAAGTGAAGTTAGCTAATCCCAAAAATCCAAATGCCAAATATTTTCTTTGATATAAGGAGGCTGATTTGTAGTGGGATAGGGAGCCGGAGCATGGGAGGAATAGACGAACTCTAGGTAGGGCAGAGAGATTGAAGGGAAAGGAGGAGCATAGAGTAATTAATGATGGTGGAATGTGATGATCATTACTACCCAAAGTACATTTATGAAGACATGAATTGGTGTGAATATACTTTGTATATAACCAGAGATATGAAAATTTGTGCTCTATATATGTAATAAGAATTGTAATGTATTCTGCTGTCATAAATAAATAAATAAATAAATTTACATAAAATAATGCTGCCTTGGGTGCAGAACCAGGCCCTTAATCATATGACCAAAATTTCTGACAAGAACAACTTTGAAGACAAAAAGGTTGAGGCTGATAGATTCAGAAGTTCAGTCCATGATCGGCCAACTCCATGACTTTGGGCCTGAGATGAAACAGAACTTCATGGTGGATGGATGAAGTAGAGGAGAGTCACTCAGCTCTCCTCACTTTCTTCCCAAGAGAAGTCAATGCATATATTCACAAAAAGAATTATAGAAAAATTTTCATAACAGCTTCATTCATAATGCTAAAAACTGGAAAAAACATATCCATTTATAGAAAAGAATAACTTATGGTATATTTATAAAGGAATATTATAACAATAGAGAAGAATGAGGAAATTCATTGGCATGTATCACGTTGCATTATAAATAAGAGAATAAGAAAAAATGGAAGATAATTTCTGCCAAAATAGGTATTAATTTTTATAGTCTTAATTTTCACATTATTTATTATATATTATTTTAGTTACCTGAATATTTAAATACAGTGGTATAAATAAATGTAGAATTTAGATATAGTCATTGTATATGTCTTTTAATTCTCATAATCGCCTGAAGTAGGGCAATCATAGAAGAAGTTTTTTTTTAATGTATCCTTTATTTATTTATTTAATTATTTGTATTTATTTATTTATTTTTGGTCGGGGGTTGAACTTAATCATTAAGCCACATCTCCAGCCTTTTTTAATATTTTCTTTAGGAACAAGTCTCACTGAGTTGCTTGGGGTCTTGCTAAGTTGCTGAGGCTAGCTTTGAACTTGTCCTCTTGCTTCAGGCTCCCAAACCTCTGGGATTACAGGTGTGTGCCCTGTGCCCAGCTACGTAGAATGCTTTAGATGATGTATGTTTGGCTTTATTGATTCATCATCAATGGTTTCTCAGAAACCAGTACATTCTGCTCTTATTATATTCAGTATTATTTGTTTAACCTATTTATTTATTCCTTTTTTATTTTCAGAACTGAAAGCAGAAGCTAGTCTAATGGACCAGATGAGCAGTTGTGAGAGTTCATCAGATTCTGAAAGTTCTTCATCTTCAAGTAGTGAGGATAGTTCTAATGACTCAGATGATGAAAGAGGCAAAACCTCTCCTTCTGATCCAGGGAAATATATCTCAGGACATCCTACCATGTCTGCCATACCACAGTACAGAACTTCTGATGTAGATACTAGTCATAATAGATTTCATGACAACAGTGGCCTTCTAATGAATACTTTACGTAAGTATATGTAAACATGAGCAATTAGAAAAGTAGGAATTCACGGTGGAGCCATATGGATTGTGATCTAAGTTTTAGGTAAAGAGGAAGACTTCTATTTTATGTATTCAACACTGTTAACCATGACTTTATTGAATTATTGAATTATTCATTTTCTTTTGACTCTGTAATATAATGCTTTCTTGATTTTTATTTATTTATTTATTTTATTGGTTGTTCAAAACCTTACAAAGCTCTTGACATATCATATTTCATACATTAGCTTCAAGTGAGTTATGAACTCCCATTTTTACCCCAAATACAGATTGCAGAATCACATCGGTTACACATCCACATTTTTACGTAATGCCATACTAGTAACTGTTGTATTCTGCTACCTTTCCTATCCTCTACTATCCCCCCTCCCCTCCCCCCCATCTTCTCTTGATACCCCATCTACTGTAATTCATTTCTCTCCTTGTTTATTTTCCCATTCCCCTCACAACTTCTTATATGTAATTTTGTATAACAATAAGGGTCTCCCTCCATTTCCATGCAATTCCCCTTTTCTCTCCCTTTCCCTCCCACCTCATGTCTCTGTTTAATGTTAATCTTTTCTTCCTGCTCTTCCTCCCTGCTCTATTCTTAGTTACTCTCATTATATCAAAGAAGACATTTGGTATTTGTTTTTTAGGGATTGGCTAGCTTCACTAAGCATAATCTGCTCTAGTGTCATCCATTTCCCTGCGAATCCCATGATTTTGTCATTTTTTAGTGCTGTGTAATACTCCATGATGTATAGATGCCACATTTTTTTAATCCACTCATCCATTGAAGGGCATCTGGGTTGGTTCCACAGTCTAGCTATTGTGAATTGTGCTGCTATGAATATCGATGTGGCAGTATCCCTATAGTATGCTCTTTTAAGATCTTCTTTTCTTTCTCCTTTGTAGGTTTATAAACTTCTATTCAGTCATTTTAGTTGGAGTTCCTCAAGGCTTACTCCAGAGTCATTTTTTCTTTTTATTCCGTCCTCTTTCCCTAGATAATCTCTTTCTTGTTTCTGTTTTAGTCAATACCTACATGCAGGTAACTTGCAAATTTTCATCTCTAACCCAGACCTCTGAGGTTTAGACACATGTTCTAGCATTTCCTAGTGAAAGGCAATCCAAACTCAATTTGTCCCAACCCACTTCATATCCTTGGCTCACCTTGTTTCCTCTTAGTGAAAGGGAGCATTCATCTAATTATGCAGAACAGAAGCCTGATTACATTCAAGGGTTGAGTTTCTGTGTCTCTTTACAGTGTAGCTAATCCTTCACCAAGTCCTTTTTTACTTGCCTCACAAATATTTTTCAAATTTATCTACTTCTCTTCCATCTCTGCCACTACCATTCTAGTTCAACTTTCATTTTTTTTCTTGCTTTAACTACTATAATTATTTCTTAACTGATTCATCCCTTATCTATGCAAAGCCATTTTTGATCCATTATATACATTATAGCTATATTGATCTTTTCACAACTTAAATACAATTTAAACTGCTTTAAACTTTTCAATAACATGATTTCTTTGAAAATAGAGACAGAATATTTTAACATAATGGTTTTATGTCTTTCTTTTCTGCCTTCTTTTTATTACTGTACTCAAATACTTTTACTCCTCTCAGTGCCCTTATAAATGCTATTCATACAACCAGTAACCTTTCTTCCTTTCATGTGGTTTAAATGTTCTTCTTTAGATTACAGTTCAATGTTTACTTTCTCAAAAAAAGTCTTCCTTCCTCTTCTGATAGTCTGATAATATTTTGTATAGCTCCATAAGATATCAGATACATCTTTTTAAAAAATATTTTTTTAGTTGTTGATAGACCTTTATTTTATTTATTTATATGTGGTGCTGAGAATTCAACCCAGTGCCTCACACATGCCAGGCAAGTGCCCTATCACTCAGCCACAGCCCAGATATTTTTTTATAACAGTTGTAACAATTGTAAATTAACATTTATTTGTGTGATTTACTGTCTTTCTCTGGAGTAGAATCTCCATAATGACAGGGATCTTGTTTTGTTTTGCTCATCATAGAATACTAGCACCTAGCATAGTATCTGATACATAGTATATGCTCAGTAAATACTTTTTAATCAAGGCATGCATGTTGGTATTCCCTGGGGAAAGGAACTTTCTATTTATTTAAAACTGAACTGACTGCTAATTCTGATGAAAAAAAGGTAAGCATCTTGAAAAAATTACTAGCCCAATAACTGAACTAACGAAGGGAGGAACCAAGACTGAGTGGTAGAGAGAGTAAACTTTGAGTTAATTGGGGACCAGAAAAGATATTTTGAACCTCCAGTTACTCAGTATTATTCCTGACTTGTGAGTTAAAATTGGACCATTCAATTTAAATGGCTAAGGGAGCACTGAGAAAACTCAGGTTGGTTGGACTGAATGAGAAGCTGAGTAGACATTAGGAAATTTTTCTGAGAAATTACTGGATCCTAGAGGACCTGAGTGCTCAATCAGAATATATGTATTATATTCCTATTTATCACTAATTATTTAATCAATAATAATTCATTTAACTTTTCTGAAGCTTCAGTTTCCTCCTCGGAAATGAAGGTCACATTGTCTTATAGAATTTGGAATTCAGGAGAGTTTATCTCTTAGAAATTTTTTTTAAAACTGTAGGATAGTTTTCTGGTACTGCATGGCACAGTGAATTTATATTTTAAAAATTGTCTTTGTGCCAAATACTGTAACAATATATAAAATATTAAAAGATAAAAGCCAGGCATGACCAGGATCAAACATAAAATAAACATGTCCATAGACAGGAACTAGAATACAAACATAAAACTGCAGGCTTGGTCAGGCTGAAGCCCTACTCATTGGCTCCTGAGTTCAAAAAGAGTTGGTAGTGGTAAGGAGCTTCAGGGAAGGATTAAAAGTGCTTGATATGATTTAGGTAACCTGAGTCTTGCTTATATTTGAAGTTACAGTATTTTGGAGAGGATGAGAGGATGCAAGGTATTGGTACAGGTGGGGATACTCTTTGGTTAGTAAACGAGCAAACATAATTCTAAAACATAAGAAAAAATCTAATGCTTAGAAAGCTAACAAAATTAACAATTGGAACATGAATTCTTTGCAAATGAAAATTTGTTGTAGAACAGTTTAAGACAAAGACATTTAAAGAAGTATGCTAAAAATGTTCAAAAGATGCACAAAGATATAACTTTAAAAGCCATATTATTCAACAAAGTCAAGCAGAAATGAATCAAAATCCAATAGATTGTTAAAAAGATTCAAAGACTGGGGATATAGCTCAGTAGTAGAACATTTATCACCAGCACCACAAAAAAGTAAAAACAGAAAGGTTGGTCATTGAAATTTTTTAAAAAATCAATAAATGGGAAAAACTGTAGACTAGACATAGTTGAAGAATGAATTATTGAAATAGAAGATAAGATTAAGGAACTATTCCAGAACACGATACAAGATAGAAATGAGAAGTGAGAGAGCAGTTTAGAGATAAGGAAGATAACAGAAAGTTAAACACTGTGCAGTGGGAATTCCAGAAAGAATGAAAAGAATAGAATGAAAACTCAATTCTGAGAATTTTCCAAAATTGAAGGAAGTTATGAATCTATTTCAGCTAATAAGCCAGATAAATATGAATAAATATAGAACCCAACGCAGTAGTAAATCCACAGTAGTAAACCTCAAGGATGAAAGGACAAGCTCCAGACACTTCAAAGCTATTTTTTCTTATGTGAGAAACTGCAATAGACTCAACTCCTCTCCTTCCCTCTGTGTTTCTTCCTCTCCATTGTAGTGTATTAATTGATGTACAGCTCTCATTCGTCATCTGCCTGCTTAAAATTTTCACATGAATCCTCATTATGTTTCAAACAAAATTCAAAGTTTTTACCTTGACCTTCTGGATATCTTTCTGACCTAATTTCCCACCATTCTCTTCCTCATTCATTCCACTCTAGCCACAGTGGCTTCTTGCAAGATAAAGAACACAACAAGCATACTCCCTCCCTGGGGCTTTTCTGCTTGCTGTTCCCTTAGTTTGGACATCTGCATCTCCCCACCCTCATTTTTTATGACTTTCTCTCTACATTAATATTTTCTAGCTACCCTGTCTAAAACACCTTCCACCACTATCTCTATACTCATCTTTATTTTTTCATAACACTTATTCATACTGGCCATTATGTTACATGTTTGTTCATTTGTTTACTGCATGTCCTCCACTGAAATATAAGCCCCATGACTAAATTAAAGATGATTTACAAAAATAATCAATGATGACATATTCTTGAAATGTATTCTTTAATGACTTTGACTGCATTTTAAGTAAAAAATTATATAACATTTTTTTAACTCTCCAAAATGATGATCTGATCTAAACCACATGTAATAAGTCAGTGGTATTAAAAAAGAAAAGTAATGTTGGTATGTGAAAGAAGACTAAAGCAGATGCCAGTGGTGCTAAAGCTATGACAAAAGTTTGATGGTAATACTTTTTTCTTTTTAGGCAATATTACTTGAGTTATTTACAAGATAAATAATATGATTATAAATGACAAAAAGCTATCTAAATAGAATCACTTGTGGTGTTACATTTTGCATAATATTTATGTTATGAAAAATAAGTAACTATTTATATTTAATTAATTACTACTAATTAATTTAAATATTTAGTTACTAAAATTTTGTTATTTCTCTTTTATTTTAGGAAATGATTTGCAGCTGAGTGAATCAGAAAGTGACAGTGATGACTAAGGAAATTTTTAGCTATAAATATAACATTTTTAAGGCATGTGATAATTTATTTTGTATTAAGAATAAAAACTAGTATGGTAGGAAAATATGCCTTAACTTTTTATGATAAAGGAAATTAAATTCAATTCATAATTTTTAACTTTTTATTGAATACTAGCATTTTCATGTGTTGTCTTTGTTTAATCTAAAGAAAATTTTTATGAAGTTTGATAAATGAGGAAACAGAGTCAGAGGTTGTTAACTTGCCCAGGTGTTATTAGTTAACAAGTTGGAATTCAAGATTTCTAGTCTTAGGGCAGGGGATATAACTCAGTTGGTAGAGTGCTGGTCTTGCATGCACAAAGCCCTGGGTTTAATCCCTAGCACTATTAAAAAAAAAAAAAAAAAAAAAAAAAAAAAGATTTCTAGAGTCTTAAGTTCAATATACTATTTTTTTCTCACTGCTGTCTCCAATTGTGAAATTAATGATTTATAATGATTTATAATGAATTTATTAAATTTTATATCTGAGCCTTTCCTGTCTGATATTCCTTAAATTTGGGGTGAAAATAAGTGGATTCTTGAGATGGACATCCAGAAACAGGAAGCATTCAGAACCCAAATAGATAATATCAAAAAGAATCTCTCTATGACACATTTATGATTGAAATGCCTGACATACAGAACAAGGGTAAAAATTTTAAAAGCTTCAAGAGAAAAAGGTCACATTTACAGTCAAGCCAATCAGAATTACTTCCAATGTATCAGCACAAATTCCAAAATCCAGGAGAGCTTGAAATGATGTGTTCCAAGTCCTGAAGGAAAATAACCATCATCCAATATTGCTATGTCCAGCAAAGATATCTTTCAGAATCTAAGAAATAAAAACCCTCCAAGATAAGCAGAAACTAAAAGAATTCCTGACTATTAATTTCACACTATAGAAAATACCTACAGAAGTATTCTACACAGGAGAAATCAAAACCCAGCCTCAGAGCTCACAAGTTAACAAATCTCATTTGAAAAGTAGCTTAAAAATGAGAAACAGTACCAAATTAAACATTTTAAATAAATGAAAATGGCAGAAACTAATAAACATCTTTCTATAATAACATTGAATGTAAATGGTCTCAACACTTCAATGGTCTCAACTCTCTGAAAGACATAGACTGCTAGAATGGATTTGAAAACAAGACTCAACTATATGTTCTTTACAAGAAAGGATAGACTGATAAACCATGAAAATGGAGCCCCAAAATGAGCTGGAGTAGCTACTGTCTAACAAAGTAGACTTTAATCCAAAATTAATCCAAAGAGACAAAAAGTTCACTTCATACTGGTAAAGGGAACTATTTGACAAGAATATATAATGATAGTAAATATTTATGCTCCAAATATTGATGCACCTAATTACATAAAACAGACAATACTCAAATTAAAGACTCAGACTCCAGTATAATATTACTAAATGGTTTCAACACATCTCACTCATGAATAGTTAGGTCATCCAGATATAGACTCAGTAAAAACTCATTGGACCTGAAAAAAAGTAAATAAAAGGAACTTAACATACATCTATAAAATATTTCATCCAGGAGCTGGGGTTGTGGTTCAGTGGTAGAGAGCTTGCCTAGCATGTGTGAGGCACTGGGTTCGAATCTCAGCACCACGTAAACAAGTTAAATTAAAAAAAAATAGTTATTGTGTCCAGCTACAACTAAAAAAAAATTTTTTTAAATATAAATTTCATCCAACAACAGCCAAATATACTTTCAGCAGCTAAAATAGATCATATTTTAGGCCACAGAGCAACTCCAGCAAATAAAAAAATAATAATATAATTCTTTGCATCTTATCAGATCATAATGGAATGAAATGAAAAATAAACATGAAAAACTACAGAAACTATATAAACACACAGAGGTTGAAAAATACATGTTTGATTAATGAATGAGTGATAGAAAAGTCAAAGAAAAAATTTTAAAAATTGTTAAGAGTCAGCCAGGTGCAGTTGCACATGCCTATAATCCCAGCAGCTTGGAAGGCTGAGATGGGAGGATCTTAAGTTCAAAGCCAGCCTCAGCAAAAATTGAAGTGGTAAGCATCAGTGAAACCTTGTCTCTAAATAAAATACAAAATAGGGCTAGAGATGTGGCTCAATGGTTGAGTGCCCCTTAGTTCAATACCCTGTACTCCTTCCAAAAAAAATTCTTAGAATCAAACAAAAATAATGATACAACATATCAGAACCTCTAGGACACTATAAAGGTGGTTCTAAAAATAAAGTTTATAGCTATGCATGCCAAATAAACAATGATGCATCTTAGGGCCTGCTATAATATATAATGCTATAGCATTAACTATATACTATATAACTATATAACTATTTTCCGATAGTATATAGTTAATGCTATAGTATCCCTTGAAGATGCTGGTAGGATTTCCCCTTCCTCTACTGTTTTCTCTTTGTTTTC